ACACGGCATTAAATAACGCTAACTAAATATTTACGATGGCATCCAATCCACTTTAGATCGAAACCTCTGAGCGTTGTCTGATAAAATATTCTGCGGTTGACGCTACGTCGAAAGCGGCTTTTTCTCCTGTCTCCCCGTCGACTTATGAATATATTCAGAAACTCAAAATGAAGATATTACTGTTAAGCTTGCTTTAAAATTTATCAAGAATTCTTCCTCTTTTGCATCAGAATGCGGGAATCTCGAAATACCCTCTGGAGATTTTTAACTCAATGCCTGGCTTTTTAATTTTAATCTTCCCTGCCTATCTTCCTCTTCTCTCTCAGATAAATAAAGAATATATATATGCATCAGTTTGCGAAGAAAATAGTTTATGAAAAGCTTGCTTTTAAATTGAAGAGAGGATTTTGTACTTTTTTGTTTATTTTCCTCCGTCGAGTTTTATGTTCCTGTTTATTTTTGTTGCGTTTAGTTTATGAATTCTTTAAATTATATTTTTTGTTTGTTAATGTTTTTCCCTTCTTTTTTTGGTGTACTTTTTATTATCTTCAAAATTTTTGTTTTCATCTTATGAACGAAACTATACTAATTGAACATCTTTGCAGATCAGTTTATTCTAGTGTAATGGGATTCGTATGATAGGATTTATATGATAATAATAATGTAATGGGATTCGTATGAAGCAAGCTGTGCTCGTTTAGAGTTTTATTTTATTGTGTCCATTGGTATTAGTTGTTACACAAAAATGCTCTTTCTATATATATTTATAGTAAGATTTAGTCGAGGTACTCTATTATCTACTGATGTAATGAAACATCGATAATATCATTGTTCGTATTGATTAAAAAATAATGTTTTCGTAATGATTTATAAAACAGGGTTAAAAGTTGTAAAGGCATTAGGATATTTTTGAAAGCAGATAAGATGAAAAAGTATCAACCGCCTTCGCCGGGAATCGACCCGCGGACCTCTGGAATACCGGCCCAGCGTGCAGAAATACTACACCACGAAGGCACGCTAAGAAAGTAGGAGAAATACCTTAGAACGTTTAAATTATGTAAAATATTTTTTCATTTAGTTCTGAATTTAGTCTAGCGGAGAGGGGGGAAAAAAAAACATTTTTCTCTTCTTTTATGCAGATTTTTTTACTAGAATAGTAAAGTAGAGTAGTTTTCTGTTCGACTTAAATTGCGTATGAAATTAGAAATTATTTCCCCTTATTATTCATTATTCTCGTCTTGTTATTTTCAAAAGAAATTAACACGATTTTACATTATTTCTTGCTGATGACATGTGGTTGAGAGTCCTGGCGTACTTTTATGCATTGTCGAAACTAAACGGCATGAATCTCTTGTCTACGAGGTAATTTTTTTACTGTTGCATTTAACGTATTGGAGTAATAAATTTCAAAAAATAATCCTGCTGTTATTTCTTTCTGAGAATTGAATCTAAATTTTTATGTTAATTGGAGACGTAAATGTTTTTATTTTGTGTTAATCAATTAATTAACCATCGTTTTGAATATATAATCCGTTTTCTGTTAATTAATATCTCCATTTTCACCCAATTCGGCAAAATTTTTCTCTGTTGAGATTATATTTCTTCTGCTTCGTGTGGACTTCGGTTGTTTATCTTGAGAAATCTCCCCTCTAGGAATTCCCTGCAGGGAATAATCGCTGCCATTCAAATCCGGTAAGTACTTCGGTTGAGACCGTCTAATTCTCATCTTTGTTTGATATCGATTGGGAAGTTTATGGAGAGATGGGAATTGGATAGCCGTAGCCAAAGTACTCTTTGATAGAAATGTTCTGGAGGTTACCTAGTATAGTGTGTGTTTTCTGGCATAGTGTCCGTTCTGTACTGTATTACTGAATCAACTAGCCGTAGAACTACGGGAATCGGTTCCTGGATTTTCTCAAATTGATGTTATGTATTTATATGATGAATATTAGCCTTTCTTAGTCTAAATATTAGACACAGGAAGTTAAAAAAATGTAATTTGAGAATTTCTAAGAACTATAGTCTAATGCAGGATTCTCAACCTTTATCTTGCGTCGTTCCCTCCATTTAAAAGAATGGTTTTCTTCATCTACTCTTGTACAGTTTTCTCTTACAAATAATTGCACATAAATAACTTAAAGATAGAAATTAGTCTAAAAGTATGAAGAAAGATTTTTTAAAAACTAGTTTTTTAAACTTATTTTTATGTTTTATATTTTTTTATATTATTATTTTTAATTTTAAAAATATAAACAAATTCTTAGGAAAAAATCGTAGATTCTAATTTCACAAAATTACAGTTTTAATTAATGTACTGACTACGCTTGATGTATTAATTATAATTGTTTTTAATATTTGGAATAAAATTGCTGTACTTAATTCTTAAATCGCCTTACTCGAAAATATTCAAACTGTTTTTCGTTTTCTGTAGTAAATTGTTGACCTGACTAAAGCCTGCTTCCGTTAGATAAGAAGGGAAAGATGTAACAGTTTTTAATTTGGGGATATTTCTCTGTGGTGACTTTTAAATTCTAAACTTAGCTTATTCATGTGTTTCGAGTAAGACGTGCTTGAATATCAACTTTCAATGCAATCAACTCTTCTTGCATCACATTTTAGTATATTTTTGCCTTATATTTATTTTATGTGATGTCTCCTTACTGTATCGTATAACTTTACATTAATATAATGAATTAATTATGAATTTTATGAATATTTTTAATCAATGAGATTGTACTTATGGCTATCCATTGCCGGTGCATATTTGGCTATCGACCCCTTGATTATCATTGAGTCAGTCGCTTTAAAATTCTATCAACCCTCAAGGAATCTATACAGACCCCGTTGAGAGCACCTGGTCTAATACTTCGAAGAGATTTACATTAAAGTTTCAGAATATTAAGACAGGCAATCGGCGAACAAAATGCAGTACACATCATGAAGAAGTTTCCTAAGAAGTGTTAAAAAAGTTAAATTTTTACATGAATATTTGCATATATATTTCAAAGGAAATATTAGTTGGCTTTAAAACTGTATTCTACTTTTTCCAATTTGGAATCTTTTTATATTAAGTTACGTTCGCCTGTTGCTTTTTGTTTAAAGCAATCGCGCGACTTGGCAAATGTCATGGCTTTAGATGCTTTTAAAAAAATTGATATCTACATACAAGGTAACTCTAACTTTGTAGAGTTATTAGGATTTTTGAAACATGAGGCATGAGAAATGAGCAATGTGTAAAGTGGATGGAAAGTAGGCATGAACGTTCGTTATTGCGTTTATTGGCCGTGAGAAGAACAAGTTGGTATAACAGATATAGTTCGGCGCTCGCTGGCGCCCTCTTGCAGAGAACAAAATCAAAATTTACATAAAGCGCGAACACAATCTCATAGACGGGACTCGAACCTGTACCTCGCGAATACACCACGAGTGTGTTACCGTTACACCACGAAGGCATGCAGGAAGGAGGGAGAAAATACCTCATAACTTTAATTTTTAATAGCTCCATAAATTTCCTTTCTGTCCTTGAAATAGTAACTTGCTTATAATAAATACTTCTCAACTGCGTCATTTCAAAATTAATCCTTTTCATGCGATTCTTATATAACACTAAATGACGCATGTATTTATGTAATGCCAAAAGTGAAACTAAAGTCTTTTATCCAATAATGATGATGAATTCGTAAGCCAAAAGTCTTTATGAACCAATAGAAACAAAGTGACGGCGTAAAATTTGCTGTTCTTAATGTAGCATCCATATCGTAATCTAAGCATTTTTCTCATGCTTATCTGTCTACTAACATATAAACCGCAGCTCCTCTTTCTTATTACAGTTATATTATTGTAAATATATTAAAATCACGCATGTAATAATTGAAGCATGGATGCTCGTCTTCTTCCAGTTTAGCTGTGTGTATTTATTTCAAAAATGTTACGCAAAAATAAAAGAGTTGTACCATCTGTCTGTGACTGTAACTTTATACACCGGGTCTGTCATTATTTTATAGTTCACCACACAAAAATTTGTATTACATGCATGTATTTAGAAAACTTCAGAAATAGGGCGAAACCTGAAAGCATAAATCAGTCAACGTTAAATGAAGGGGAAAGGTACGTGATATATGTTTAATCTTCCGTTACTATCGTCCGATTACATTCCCCCCCAAAAAAAAAAACCTATACTATTTATTATGTTTATCTATGTCTCGCTAAATATGTGTCATAGTTGGTATGATTTGGTTTGGATTTGCTTTATTTAAATATGGCAAAGCTGGCAAGGGCTCTCTGCCTAAGAGAAAGGATGCTTTCATGGAAGAATTTCTAAGGGAAACTTGCTCGTAGACACGTTACACATGGGGAAAACCACGAAAATGACCATGTAGCCAGCCCGTTTGCCGAGATTTTAACACTGAACCGAATTCCAAGTGTTCAGCGACTTTACTGTTCGGGCCACTAGTGGGCTATAATAATTGGGGTGGTGTTAAGAGATTTGTATAAATGATATGTTTGCATCGGATTTTAATAAATTTTCTTTGATATGGAGAATGGCTGTAAATCTCATTTATTAATAATTAGTTTATAAAAACATGCTTCTTTATGTATGATTATATTTTTTTCGAATTGGAAATTGTCTCTTTATACGAATGACAGTGAAGAATTGTTTTTATTGATTCTTTTAAAAATGTTCTATCGAAGAACACCCACATGTGTGTAAAATACAAATTTAAATTCTCTCTTATCTGCTGGAATTATGCATTAAAACTGTTACAGTCATTCATTTTGTTCATTTAAATATTTTAATTTATACAGTTATGTCTAAAAACCAGTCATAAGTAAAATCGCTTATAAAAATTTATCAATTGGAATTGATCTCGAGAATCTTCTATAGCTGAAAAAGCGATATTTTAATCAGGTTCTCTCTTTTCATTTTTAAATGTTGTAAAATTGACTGCACTGTTTGTATTATCATTTTATTGAATATTGCAAATTTTCTTTTCTTCTAGATCATCAGGGAACGAGTCAAAATACCTCTCCAGCGGAGCTCATATGTATGGAACAGTCACCCTGGGGCTCTGCCCACTCTGCCCCAATTTTCCGACGTCTTGCGGGATTTCCCTTTCTACCTGAATCATCTCGGGGTTACGCCCCATCCCAAGTTCACCGCCGTCATTTACGTGTCCATGGCTGCCTCTTCTGCGCACTCATCGCCCTTGTTGCGACTTGTCAAGACAGTCGCCAAGTCCGCCAATGCCGCCAGGGTGAGTTTGGATTCATTTTTTGGTGATGTTTTTCATTATGTTATTCATTGTTGCAAACGAGCAACCCTATCGTTACACGGCATTTCTGTAATGCTAGTTAGTTAAAGCGAATCAGTTTGAAATTTTAATTTAAAAACTAAGAGAATGCCGAAGCCAGAATAAATTTAACTCTTTCAATCAGTCGTCCACCCGGAGAGGACATCCTTTAAGTCCAACTTACCGCTCAGATATTTCTTCAAAAAATGTTTAGCCAAAAGGGAAAAAAGAAGAGGAAGAATTTTTTAGCTCCTCAAGAAGAGAGACCTGTTTCTGATCCACCTTGAAATCGATAAATTGAAAATCTAAGCCAAAATAAGTTTGCCTTTTACTTCCTTGTACAAAGTTAAAAAGGAAGTATTGTAATCGCGAAAAGTTTCAGGCAGCATATTTCAACGAAAATATCCATTTTGACCGCTATCGAATGCATATCGAATGCTATGTCTTTGCGTGATATCTGTACGTAAGGACAGAATAAAAGACTCTTTTCCTTCAAAAAAATTATAAAACTGCTTTAAAATTAATTCTGAAGAGAATTTTTCGTGGCATCTGTACGAACGTATGTACGTACGTTCGTGCGTACGTACGTATCTCGCATAACTCAAAAACGAGTAGCCTCAGAACGTTGAAATTTTGTATATAGGACTGCTATAACATGTAGATGTGCACCTCGTATTTTGGTTGCAATCGGCTGCACCAAACGTATATAAATATATTTATATATATATCCACTCTGTTACCCGGCTCAGTGATCTCAGTTTTTTTTTTACTCTTATATGTTGGTAAATTGTACATTTTTTTGCTTTAAAAATGATTGAATTATGTTGTTTTTATCTTCCGGTTAAGGATTTTATGCCTTTAGTAAAATCTGCGTGCATATATTTTTAGAATTATCAGCAATTTTAAATGTTTAAAGTTGTTTAATTGCCGCTAAGCCTTTTTTTAATGGCGGCCATTGATGTTTACATTTGAAAACAGGAGACTAGTGGATTTGTTGCCAATCTAGAGAAACTTAGCTTCGCAACAACAAAGCTAACGCCTTCATTTATTATTTTAAATCATGCTTAATCCGTTCTGGAATTTTTTTCGAGGAAATAAGCGTTTAAGATTTACTTCGTAATTTTTAATATAGATATTTTGAGTTCTTATATTTTTTTGCCTTCTCTCGTGAAGTGAGAACTGAATTAATTAAATGAGAAATACTCAATCGTCTGTGAAAAACTGTTTTTTCTTTTCTTTTTTTGTTTTGTTTTGCTTAATTTCTTTTATACGTCATTCTAGCTTTATTATAGTATTTGAATAGAACTTGTGGCAACGATTAGATAATTCTATTCTTTAAATGATATAAATGTTGTGCATTATGAGTTATAATATGAACGAAATATAATACTGTTAAGTGAATCTAGCGCCGGAGTGTCGCTATCGTAAACAAGTACTAGAGTGAATTTTAAAGAATGCATTTATTCTATTGTGGTTTATGCGCTGTCGGCGAAGTAGATTTAATTCAATCCAATAAGTTTAAATGAAATGCAAGAAAAAATGCGTATAATTTAATATTCCAATACAAAGAAGTCGTGGTGTACACATCAGATTTTTTTAAATATAATTTTAAATTTTACAGTGGCATATTTTTCATCACACAGTTGACTTTGCAACGAAAGGATTTTACAGCAGAAGAACCTAAGCTGTCACTGATAAATAAAAAGTGCGCTTGCTTTGGTCGCAGGAGCAACAAAACTGGTCCCCTGACGATTAGAAAAGTGTTGCTTGATCCGACGAATTTTTTGCTCCATCAGGCAGATGACAGTGTTAATACAAATGGATACAACGGCGCAAACGTAACGGATTCATACATGTCTCCTGCCTCTTCAGCCGGGAGATCTGAAATTACAGTCTGGGGAATATTTTCATGGAATATAGGGATCGCTTGATGTGCCTGGAAACAGCTCTCAGCTACATTGCTTTACCTCAGTATCGTTGCCAATTACGCACACTCGTTTGTGGTTGCTATGTTCCCTAATGCAGAATGTCATTTTCAACAGGACAAGAGGCGCCTTGTCGCTTGCACGATTGATTTCAAATTGGTTTGAAGAGTATGACTCGGAGTTCAAATTGCTTCCATGCTTGTTCAGAAGTCTGTCCTCAATCTTATTCATCATGTGTGAGACAAGTGGAAAAGATAACTTGAAAAAGAAGTGTGGAAATATAAAATTTAATTTAACGTTAGATGTCATGAAAAAACACCTTAGTTATTATATACTGATTTTGAATAAAACTCTATTGATTTCTTAAATGTTCAACCACAGATCCCACACTTAAGAAACAAAAACAATTTTGCCAAAACGTTTTCTGAAGGGAAATTTAAATGATGTGCTAGACCTATATCCCCCACAAAGGACAGACAGTTACAGAGGGTTAAATTTGTTTCGCTCGTAGTACCATTTAAATATGCTTTGTGATGCATCTGAATTGTACTGATCTCGAAGTTGTTGCGTTGCTTGCTACCCTTCTATTAATGCGGATGATTCGTGCCAGATTTCACCTCTTTAGATCACTTATGACCAGAATTGCCTGGAATGCTCTATTGCCATTCTATAAACGCACGAGAGACTGGTTTCGAGAAAAGTTAAGAGAATTAACTGTTTCACAGATGTTGGAAACCAGTCTTCATGTACCCAAGATCGTACGTCGTTCAGAATCGCTTAGAATTTTTGTCTTACTCATTTTGACATTAATCACAGTGATAACTATTTCTCATCGAGATAAACATTCTGGCTTTTTTGACATAGCTGGAAAACTGGGGGGATGGAGGGGAATGCTTAATTATATAAAAAATATGTCTGTAACATTTTATCCACTGTATACCTAGTTCAGTAGAAAAAAAGACTCTTACTGCAAGTGTTTGGATGTCTATGGAAAATGGAACCACTGTAAGTTAATTAGCTGAAACTTATCTTCAACTGATAATAGAATTCTACCACCATTCTAGTAATAGTGACTAATTACATCAAATTAAAAAAAAATTATCTAATTAGTAGTCACTATTCCTGAAAATTCTTTATACATTTATATGCTGAATTAAAATCTGTGGTCATATGCATGATTTTAATCTAAAAATCTATTCGCAAAAGTTAAGTGTATTTGAAAATTTCAAATTAACCTAATACTGCATGGAATCATTACTGTTTTTGCAGGAAAGGCCATTTTACGGAGCTGTCGCAGTGTGTAAGAATGCTTCATTAACGGTAAATAAAAAGTAAATAAAATGTAAATAAAAAATATCCTCTTATATCCCGTAAACCTTTTAACCGTCTGTGTAATTAAATAACATTCAGGAAACTTCCAAGACTCAATTAGGAAGGTAACCCCCTCCCAGCGGTTATGTCTTCTTTCTCGCCTTGTAATCCAATTTCATTAGTCATATTAAATTATCCGTATAATTGCAAGGATTTCTAAGTATTTATTGTGGCAGTTTTATTTATTTGCTTCTGTCTCGACATCTGTGGTGGGATTCTGTAGTTGGAGAATAATTTTAAAATTTATTTGATGACTGTTTAAGATAGCTTTAGAAATGTGAAAACTCCTTCAGAGCATTTTTTTATTTTTAACTCAAAGGGACAATTTGCCCTGAAGGGCTATTCATTTCGTTTTTGGCATTTTGCATTGGTTCACTATAAACGGCATTTCACTTTTCAAATTAATGCCACCAAATATTAGAGTCCTGCATTATATTTAAAAAAATTAAATTATGAAGAATCTGCATGAATGTGTGCATGTTTCTCGCGCTGTGATAAAGCAACGGCACCTAGAAACATCAAATTTTGAATAACTTAGTCCTCCACCTGAATATGGGCATCTGGAAGCCTAAATTTGGAAATTTTTTTATTATCTATTTAAAATTATTTAAAAGTTTAACGAATTATTGATTAACCAATTCAACGATATTAAAGCGAGCAGTAGCAACACTGTAAGGCGGAAAAAACGAAAACGCGCGAGTCTGTGTATCGGAAATTCTAAGGATATGCTTGTGAAGACATTAGGCCATTTCGAAGCAGGAGTCATGAAAAATATGTAGTGCCCTCGCCGGGACTCGAACCTCGGACCTCTCGAATACGCACCGAGCGTACTGACCCTTACACCACGAAGGCATGTAAGAAGGAGGGAGAGATATTTTATATGCTCTTTTTAAATTATTTTGGGATATTGCTGTTGAATTGAATTTTATGGTTTATTTTTATTTGTGTATTAATCTTGATTAAAAAGGTCACTAATTAATATTTTGAATCCTGCTAAAACTCTGTTATATCTATTTAATAATGAATATCTGCACCTTTAACCTAAATAAACCTAGCATTTACCATATTGTAGAACGTTTACTGTGATTCCATGTAGCTGACTTTTCTGTGCTTCTGATAATAATATATTTTTTACTCGTATATATTATGCGGTTTTCAGGTCATTTATAAGAATGGACTGCGTGATAAACGTGTACCCTATATTTCAAATTATAAATCCTAGTTCGGTACTAAAAAGTGTAAAACAGTTGCCATATGCGACGTTGTTACCAGTTATGTTATTACTATGTGGAGCTTTACTATTAATAATTTCTATTGCTTAAGGATGATTAAGTGACAAAAGAAGAAAAAAAAAAAAAAAAAAAAAGACGTAACTAACTAGTTAACGAGTAAAATAGAAATGTCACAGTAAATCTGTTCTCCACTGAATAAATATTTTGCTCATAGGTTAGATCTAGCATCTTGTTAAAGATATCAACTTCTTTATAAAGGAATAAATACTTATTAGTCAAATGCAGCTTTCGTTCGAAATTTCAAATCTGAATTACTTGTAACCATGCCTGTTGTTCGTAATGTTATTTGAAGAGTCTGTAGCTTTTGCTCTAAAAATGAAAATCGAAGCTGCGCATTATCTTTCCCTGAAAATCATATAACTGTAATGGATATCTCACTGTGTGGATTAATTGTGATTGATATACATACATATGAGAATGAAATAAAGGTTTTAAAATTTTTCGTATTCAAAAATACTTTATTGGATAATCTTAATAAAAATTTGTAGATTGTATTGACAATCTGAGGAACAGTAATTGAGGCAAGATGGCGGAAAATTATTGTCTTGAGTGATGGTCAGCCATTATTCATCATATTTGTTATAAGTTCATGAACGAATGTTAGTGAATTAGCAAGGCACGTAAAATATCGCGTGATGATATTACAAACATGTTCGACTCGCGATGGGTTTGGTATTAAATAGGATTGTGGCGGACACAGGTGTTATCTAGCTTGCTGTTTGGTGTCTTTGCTGTTTGCTCGTGTCGCCACTATTAGCTCGGATGGGAAATGTGGCGCTACGCCGTTGTTCTTGAATGTGGTAAATGACTTCTGAAGGTGTCGAGCGTAGGTCTATTTCATAGCAGTCGATTATCTTAACGCCATCGCAAAAGTGCAGCTGTGCAGTTGCTTGACTATTTGAACTGTTTCGTGGTGCGAACCCTTGGAACCGCAACACACTCTCTTTCTAGCAATTTTAATGCGATATTTGGAGATGTAACTCCTCGTCGCGATTGAATCCGTCTTGTTGCCATGTTTTTGAGCCTTGTGTGTTAACTTGACTGGTAGTTTTGGTGGTAGCCTGTGGCGCCTATGCGTATGCGTGCCTAGCTATGCCCTTTGTTGCACTGCATTGCTTGAAGCTGTCAGCGTGTGACGTTGTTCTTCATTTGTTCCCTGGTGAGCGAAGATGAGTGTTCTTGTTACACTGGAAGTCATCAATGTGGCAGATTCCAGAAATCCCCTCGCTCATTTTTTAGCATTAAGGGTTAGTGTGGCTCTACGACGTCCTCGGTATCCGTGAAGATGATAAATAAAATTTGCTTTTCGGCATTTCTGCAGCTGAAGAAGAAGGTTCTATACTTAAACCTTCGAAACTAGTCCAGAAAATGTATGAATATTACGTTGGTTCTTGCTGCTTTAACTCCTCCAGTATTCGTGATTCCGCGAGATATTTTAAGTCAAAAATGATAAATAACCGTGCATTTCGAACGTGAGTCTGTTTCGTAGCAGTCAAGTATCTTATCGTTATGGCAAAAATGCATCCGTGTGATCACCTCAGAGATATTTGAATTATTTCACGGTGAGAGCGTCTGACTGGTACTCAGGGCCTTTATAAGATGGAAAGAAAGAGATCAACGTGACTGAGATCATGTTAGGAAATCTGTTACACATACCGCCGATAGAGCTCAAATGAAAGTAGAAATAGACATTTTTGATAAATAACGATATGCAGTGAACATAATTGTTTGAAAAATCCGTTGGTTGATTCGGGTTTAAGAAAAACGCGACATAAAGCAAGAGAATTATATTTTTCTTTACTTTACGTACTACAAACGGCGTTTTTAATTCCACGATAGTAATTCTTTCCGTAATTTCACTGTTTGAAATAGATCACTCCTATAAATTACAAATATTGTCGTAAGTATAAAGAATATCTTTTCATAACTGTTTTATTTAATAGATCACTCCTATAAATTACAAGTATTGTCGTAAGTATAAAGAATATCTTTTCATAACTGTTTTATTTGTGAAAATGTATAATTGAAATGACAACTAGCTGTATAGTTTTGGTAATCAAATCTTTATAGCGAGTAACATTTTCAAAATGTGGTATAACATGTTATTCATATGATAAACAGAACGCATCACTTTTTTTTTTTCTTTTTTTCCAGGTGGTCGTGATCTGGAATAGCGAAACTGTTCCGGCGTCTTCTGTGAAGTGGCCTTCCTCTCCAATCCCCATCAACGTCATACAGGCCCAGCACAAGGTACGAGTCACTAAATACTTTCATATCAGTAATCAGAAAAACTCATTAAGGGCAATATTCTCATGAGACTTAGGCAGGGACTGGTATATAATACGAAATAGCTTTTCTTAAGGGGAAGAGCTTTTATATAATGTTAACAATTGTAGAGGCGTTAGGTTATTTCGAAGCAGGAGAGATGAAAAATGAGCAATGCCCTCGCCGGGACTGGAACCTCAGACCTCTCAATACGCGCCGAGTGTGCTAACCATTACATCACGAAGGCACGCTTAAAAGGCGGACGAGAAATAGCTAATATGCCCAACCTTTTAAAGGACGACTGGAGATTAGGGAACCCAATCGCCAAATCCTGGTGGTGGAGAATCATCATCCATCACCTTTTTTAGTTCGGGCGCCACTCTAGAGACATTAGGTTTATTTTGAAACAGAAAACATAAAAAATGAGCTGTGCCCTCGTCGGGACTTGAACCCCGGATCTCTCGATATGCGCCGAGTGGGCTGACCATTACACAACGAAGGCATGCTAAGAAGGCAGGAGAAATACCTTATACTATAAAATTTGGTACAAAAATGTATGAAATAAGTTATAGCGTTATGAGTTTGAAGTGGATTATTTTGTATTCTTGATATTAGCTGCAAGTCTTTGAAAGTTTACCAATTGCGAAATTACAGGATAAAGTTCATCAAGAGATGTAAAGCTTAGTGCAATTCTCGATCCATACTGTTCTGTGCTTACGCATGGCCTGCGTGTAGGTTTTGAAGCTCTACATCTTTTAGATTACAGTCTTTATATTCCTTATATGTCTATCGAAACTATGCAGTAACTTACGGAATGTATAATCAAATTTACTTTGCATATACAAACACTTCTTATCCCTTTCTTTAAAATGGAAAATTGCAAAGAGCATTAGGCATTTTATTTAAGAGGAGGAGACGTAAAAAATGTGCATTGCCCGATGAGATTCGAACTCTGAATCTCCTGATTGCTAGCCTGATATGCTTCCAATTACACCACAAAAGGGCGCTGTAAGGAAGCAGAAAATGCATTACAAATTTAAACCGCATCAATGAATGAATTTCACACGTTTTCTTCCGGCGCAATGCTGATCGATATTTTTTTCCCTCGACGTATGATACGTCGTATATAAGTCATATTTTATTATTAGTCCAAAGGGACTTTGTCCCTGAAGGACTATTGTTTTCGTTCTTCGATTTTGCGTCGTTTCACTACAAACGGCGAATCACTTTTCAAACTGTTGCCACAAAATATTATCGCCCTGTGTTATATTTAAAAAAAAAATTAAATAATGAAAAATCTGCATAAATTTATGTCTATTTCTCGCATTGGTGATAAAACAACGGTACATAGAGCCATCCAATTTTGAATGACGTAATCCTCCTACGAATAGGGGCATGTGGAAGACCAAATTTGAAATTTGGAATTTGATTTAATCGATTTTTTATTTTGTGAAGCTTTAATGAATATTTGATTAACAAACTCAAGAATTTCAAAGCGAGCCATGGCAACGTTGTATAGAAAAAACATTTTTATCTCCAGCGCGTGAGTCTCTGTATCGGAAATTCTAAAGATATGCTCATTTTAAAATTATTTTGCGATATTGTTGTTGAACTGAATTTTATGGTTTAAATGCGAAGAACGTAATATTTAATAAATAAATAAATATAACCCACAGAATGTTTAAAAAACGCCCCTTTAGACGTAATTTAAAATCTGAAACATTTGAGATTTGTGTGTGTGTGTGTATTATTTTTGGTTTTTGTGTTATTTCAACAAATGTTGTATGTTTGTACGTTATTTCAACAAATGCTGTATATTTGTATGTTATTTCAAACTGAAATATGCATGTTTCAAAACGTTGCGCTCGTGTTAAGTTTAACCTGTGCATTCACTAATAAATTTTAAAGGCACGAAGAGGAGCATCCGAAGGGCATGTTAGATTTAGATGTTCTCTTCGAGGTGACAACCGAATGTAAAGGTAATACAGGTTTTCTGTTGGATGTCTTATTTGCGTAAGCAGATCGAGGTTCAGATAGTTAAATTTGGATGAATGAGTTCTTCATCAATAATAATACGAGGGCTATTCAGAAATTAATTTACGTTTCGCTGCTGCGCGGCGAGAGTTAGTGCTAGTGTCCCTATCTTGGTGTCGGAGTGTCTACTGAATCCTTACACATCCGGTTGTAATCGTTGACGGCACGTATTGCCTCTATTTTTTTCACCATGAATGTTTAAAATATGTGCGGCAATAGAAAACCCCACCAGTTATGAAGTGCGATTAGTGATTATATTTTTGTTCGCAAAAAAAATGAAGCCAATTGAAATTTATTGGGAACTTTATAACGGTGTGTGGAAACGACGTAATGAATGAAGTCGGAGTAAGACAATGGTGCATCATGTTTAAAAATGGCCTCACAAATGTTCACGAGGAAGCACGAAGTGGCCGGCCGAGCATCGTTAATGCTCAACTCGTAGAGAAAATCGATGAAAAGATTCACAAAATTTACCACAATTTTGGAGTTTCCTAAATTTCACTAACTTTGTTGTTTGGTGTTGTGACGCAAGATCTAGGCTGTCACAAGTTTTGCGCCATATGGAATGGATACGAAAACTCTTGTCAGAAGACTACAAAAAGCAGCTCATGGTAGCGACTTTGACATTTCTCGAGGCGTACCACGAACAGTGAATCACTTCTCGATCGTGTCGTAACAGGAGGCGAGACTTGGGTAAAGTTCGTCACTTGTGAGACACTTGTGTGTGCCTGCCTTGCAACACAGCGCTTCGACGATGACGAGGAACTGAATACCGACGTCCATGCATGGCTGAAGACCCAGGGGCAACTTTCTATGACGATGCAAGCTGGTATACCATTATGATAAATGTCTTAATTTATACAGAGATTATGCAGAAAAATAGCTGAATAATGTGTAATGTGCCTTTCTAATGTAAGTAACAAAAATGTGTACTCTTTTTTTTTTTTTTTTTTTTTTTTTTTTAATTCTAAAACGTAAGTTACTTTCTGATAGCCTACGTAGTTCTAGCAACTGGCACATGTTAAAGTCGTATAGTTGCATCAAGGTGGTTTTAAATATTAGATGCAATGATTTCTGCTGACCGTAGGGGGGGGATTTTTAATGTTGGAAAAAAAAATGTTCACCTTCTATGTAGCTGATTTTTACTTTTTAAAGTTGTATTTTTAACTTTTTTAAAAGCATATTTTAACAATCTACACTGAAGAAGTAATTAATTTTATTTTTGATAAAAAATAGCTCACAACAGCGGGTTCTCGAAGAAAACTATTTAGAATTGAGGGAATAGTGTTGGCCAGATCATCATTTTTTTAACCCCTCCTTCCATGTGTTCTTTTTCTTTCGCTCGAAATAAATTTAATATTTTTCCGAATTTCGTGGACTTTCTTTCTTCATCTGTAAATAGCAATTTCTCTCGAAGAAGAGTCTGGATTGTGGAACTTCCTTTCCAGTAGAGTTCCATGCTTTCCGCTGAAATTTTTCTTTAGAGTCCCTTTCCGAGTTTTCATCCTCGATATGGAGAACAGAGAAAAATTTCCATTATTTGACTTCCGTCTGGTTTTTCTTGTACTCAGGCGCACCTGTCTAGGATTTGTTTACTCCCATTTCATCTTAACTTTGGCCGAGACTATTTCATTTCCTAACATTCGCTTAAGAAAGTAAATAGAGAACTACTTCAGCAAATGTGACTAAACACTTTTTCGACAACGAGATAATTTTGTCTGTTGCGTCGAAATCCAATTTGAATCGACTTCATTTCTTCCTTCACCCTTTTTCTTGATCAAAGAAGTTGCCGCCAAGTCTAGACGTAATATAAATATCAAATAGATTGCATTTAGAAACACGGAAAATGAAATAAATTGAAAATTCGTCGCTTAATAGATTTAACGAATTTTGTGTACAATTAATATTTAAATAGATTTTTCTTTTTAAGCTGGAAGATAAGTTAAATATAAAATAAATGTATGTTACATACATAAGGAAAAGTACTTCGAGTTCTATAATTCACAAGTGATGTATGTATTTAATTTTACATTAATGCCTTACCTATTATTTGCTTTATATGATGAAGTTTTCGAGTTAGTACTCTTTATAGGTTGTTATTAAAATTTACATATCGCGACGTTAAAATTCATATATTGTCGACCACGGAGAAAGTGATTCTCCTTAAAAGTCTGCGAAAATACTTGGATTTATCCAAAGTAAACTTATCAAACGGAAAAACGTGCTTCCAAGATGATCCAAGAACGCGCTATTACTAATCCATGTAGTTAGGTCGTGAGATGTAATTTTTTCCCAGGATTAAATTATTTTATTAGAGATTATTCATTTTCCTATCCTCTCTTTATTCATTTCCTTATTACTTAATTATACGAAGTAAAGAAAGTATTGTAATCGCGAAAAATTCCGGATATCATATTTCAACGAAGATATCCATTTCAACCGCTCTCTAAACCATTTGAACGAGGTTTTTGAGTGACATGAGATTGTAAATTGGATTTAAAAAGGATTCGGAACAGGGTTTTTTTTTTTTTTTTTTTTTTTTTTTAATCGTCTTTACGTATGTATGTATCTCGCATAACTCCAGAATGAGTAGCCGTAGAATGTTGAAATTTCGTATGTGAGATCGCTATAACATGTAGTTGTGCATCTCCCTTTTTCGTTGCAATCGCCTGCATCAAGTATAAATATATATGTATATTCCCACTGTATTAGCTCGCTGAACTTAAGATTTTTTATTCATATATGTTGTTAAAGCGTGCATTTTTTGTTTTAAAATGTTCTTATGTTCTAATTAAGGTTTTTATGCCTTAAAGTTAATCTGCATGCAATAGTTGTAGAATTTACAAATTTAAATGGGTAGTTGAGCCTAACGAACCGCCATTTGTGTACATTTGAAACTCAGTAGAACAGTGAATTAAGTGAGGTTCTGTACCTTCAAAGTCCTTTTTCCG